TGTGTTTTCTAAACATTAAACAGTAACCAGTTGTCTCAGTCAATTGCTGCATTGTTCTTCCAGAGCCGTGCTGCCCAGTAATGCAGAGATGGGAGTCGTTCATCTCCACACACAACTTGGGTGTCCCGCTCTGCTTCCCAGTCGGACCCGTGCAGCCCAGAGCAGAGAGGCTGTTGCAGAAATCGAATGTGCACTGCCAAGCGATTACCTCTGCAAATGACAGGGAGCCTTTACAGTATATTTTATAATTCCATCTCTGCCTCTTGTCTTCTAAAAATCTAATGCAGCAGAGGGGATGTTTCAGTTGCTTTTCTGCTTCAGGGACCTGCTGCGTCACTGGAATAAATGCGATGGCAACTCTGCCAGTGGCAACTCACAACTGTGTGCACCAACTTTATTCCTATTGCCTTTAAACTGAAGGTGCTGGGGATATAATTATCCAACAGTCTAACAATGCTTGGTTTAACTTAACCTTGACGCTTTGTTTTTGTAAAAAAGAAGTTTCCTGTAGTTGGGTGCCAACCATAGCAACCTAAGAAACTGAAAAAACTCTTAAGCTTTCTACTGGCAGTTTTGCGAGATGTCAGCAATCTATCATTCTTGTTAAAAGCAACCGTGAGCCTTGGGAAGCAAGATGAGCAATGATTTGGTTTGGAGCCCAGCCTGTGCCAGAGCTGCTCCCCTGGGCGCCGAGTGTGTCCGGCGGAGGAAATGCTACAGCTGGGGCAGGGCGGTGGGGCCGGAGAGGTGGCGAGCTGTTTGTGAAAGCTGCTCGCAGCCTACAAGGAGTTTTTGGGAGGGTGTATCCTGTAGGCCTAATAAAACACTGAAAGTGCAGCGTCGTTGGGAGCTACTTTTGGGGGAGAGGAGGTCATAGCTTTATATTAATTTTTTTTTTTTTCCTGTAGACTTAATCTTGAAAGTTGTGTGAATTCTTTGTTACATGTAAAGAATAATTGTGAAGGTCCCATTTGTAACATTTGGTCTTATTTGTTTAATTCTTTCAGTACCATGTTAAAACATTTACCTAATAATATTAGTGGATTATGTGAATCATGAGCAATCCTTGCAGAATAATGAAGTCTGTACATCGAGCTGCCACTGGTTATTTGCGGTCTGTTTCTACTGCAGTGCTTTTACAGCATATGCCAGATGGCTTAGGTAATGGGTTACTATAATTTTTTAGATAAATAAATGATCAGATAAAGTGCTGTCAAGCTCCTTCTATGTCAGGAAATGTGTGCAATGACTACTGTTATCTTTCGGTGAGCCACAGAGCTCCAGGTTGAGTTGGACGGGATAGGCGGCCGGTCAGGCAGATGTACCTGGCTCTTACGGTCTCCTCGTGGGGCCTTTGGGAGTTTAATCCTCTCCATGTGTTCTAATAACAAAGTAATTTGTCTCTGTTTAATGAGACTCATTGTTTAATCTCTGTAAGGACTAAAGAGAGCATGTTTGTTATTGAAATGTGCTCATTGAAGCAGTTGAATTGGAGGAAGTCACAGAAACGGCCAGTATCACAAGGTTTCGCTGTTTCTGGATCCTATTTTTAATAGGATTTTAAAAAAAAGCAAGAAGTGATGGTGAGGTTAATTGTAGGTAGTGTTTCTGTTGTGAGGGACAAGCAGCGGGCAGGCCTGCTGTCCTGCAGGTACCCGTGGGATGGTGCCTGGATTTCTGGCTGGCCTCTGCAGCAGACCTGGGGAGAGCCAGCCACTTGGGCTGTCCCTACAGGGACAGTCACTGAATTCGGATTTCATTACTTGAAAACCCAAAACAAATATTGAACTATTTGAAGTCTTGTTTATATCACTGGAGTCTTTGACGTCTGCATGTATATATGAACATATCTGCAGACGCTGCGGGTTTGAAGCGCGTCTTGCCTCAGGGGAAGATGATGGACCCGGTTTCACTTTGTGCTGTCAAGCAGCAAGCGCTCCTCTGATAAGAGCCAGTGGTTTGGTTTATGCCTCTTGATTAAAGTCAGCTTAGCTTGGTTTGCATCTGTGAAGTTAGGGACGAGCGGAGTCTGAACTCCTTTATGTGGCTGGGGTTTCATTCACATGCTTGAAGGTGCAGAGGTTCTCGCGGATCTGATTTTGTGCTCCCTGTGGTGGAGCAGTGTTTACTACTGCATGTATCGCGCTCGACTCTGATAGCGAGTATTTGTACAGTCGGGCCCAGGGCCAAGGAACGGCACTTGGGCAAGGCTATTGTTCCTGCTGCTTCATTAGCAAACTACTCGAACGAGTTGAAGCAGCGGCGTGCACCTTTGCTTGTCTTCTCTGCTGCTGAAATAGCCAGGAAGACCTTCCTACTTTCCCTTAATGACAGGTGGCTCTTGTTGCAGAAAATACGGTGTTAGGGTCAGAATAAATCCATGGTTCTTCAAAATTTTCATCATGTCTGTGACTTTTCCTCAAACTGTATCTTTCTGCTTATTTTCATAGACCATAACCATAATGCATATTTTTGTTGTGGGGATGATGCTTCTAAGAGTTTGCTTGGTTTAAACTGGTATCAAAACTTTTAAGTACAAATGCAGTAGGCACAAAATTAAACTTGTTATCTAAAGGTCATGGGAGACAGAGAAAATTCAGACTGTGTTTAATTCGAAGGCTCTTTGTGCAGTAACATTTTCCTTTTGTTGGCTTCACTTTTGAGCTGCATCCAGGATGGAGAGTTGCATGATTGGGTTGCTAAGGCCTCCTTTACCAGCACTAATAGCAAGGCTTTTAGTGACTTTCTTGGCAGAGAGCGGCACTTTCATGCCCGTGCCAGTGCCACGCTCTGTGCCACCCTTTGCTTAGGACTGCATCATTTCCTCCTTGTTCTCGGTGTTGCTTGTCTTTGCTTAACCCGGGTTTGCTTAAGCCTGATCCTGCAAAGATTTATCTTTATTCCATGTGAGTAATCGCATTGCTTAATTTTATGCTTTGAAATCAAGCATGTAAGTCTGAAAGGTTGGGCCTTCTATTCTCTATTTCCTCTTACTGCAGTGAAATAACTTTGCTGTTGTATACCTGCTCAGAATAATTTTTGCAGGAAAACAAATAAAAAAATATCGTAGGGACGTCGCCAAGCTCTGTGTGCTACGGTCTGTGTATGCAGTGTTGCAGTAAGTTAGGACCCGTCTCCTTAAAACCCGGTTTTAATATTTCATAGCAAGAGTGTATTTTCAGGAGTAGCTTCTGCTTTCAGGACCCCCACCGTCTCAGGGAGATAACGGTTCCACTCATCTTCTTTTAGCGTTGCCCACTTTCCCAGTTTGCTGCAGGCAGCAGCCTAACGTGAGGTGCTGCGTGAGATGGATAACCTGAACAGCCCAGCGCTGCGCGGATGGGAGACGCACCAGAGTTACTGAGCTGATGATCCTGACCATTTTGGGGTCTTCCTGTTCATACCTGTGCCTTTTCTTTCCCTGTACAGCTGCTTTGCTGCCTGCTGTCAGTTAATCACAGTATTTAGTAGTTCTATCTCTATATATCTTAGTCTATTTATATACAAATAAAATGTAAAGAAGAGATCAGTGCTGGCTAAAAGGGTTTGTGGGTTTTTGTGTGTGTGTGCACGTGTGGGTTTTTTTGGTTTGTTTTTAAAAAGAGCATAAGGACTTGGTGCCATTACTTGGAGGAGTGCCCTTCTTGACAAATTCTGGGCATTAGGCAGCTGGAAGGTAAGCACAGGAAACATTAGGCACTACTAATGAAGTTTAAAGACTTCACTCCTACTGAACGTCTGTGGGTTGCAGGTACTGACCCAACTTTTGATGTGAGTCTCTGTGAATTTTAATGCAAATTCTGAAGAAGGTGAAAATGGATTACTTAGAAAAGCAGAGATCTTGTGTCTTTACACCATCTGTTCTCCTTAGTGGCATGGATTTAATTTCTTTGGCCTGTTAATCAAGTACAATAGCGAGAACTGTCACAGATCTTTCCCTGAATAATAATGGCATGGAAGTACTCAAGGCTGGGGTAAAGCTTCTTAAAATGTTAAGGGAGAAGAGGGTTCCAACCTGACATCAAATAAGCAGGTGGGAGGGAGAAGTCACCAGGACGAGGAGCGATCTGAGGGAGCAGTGTGAAGATTAAACTGGCGGAGAAGCAGTCAGGAATGCAGAATGCAGCTGTGCCTGTGGGTCTGTTACCTCCATCCTGCCTGGTGAAAGTTGTGGTTATTTGCTGAACATCTTGAAAGCCATTGCATTTCCCTCCTTGCTCATCAAGTCTTCATTTTTGCCTTTTAACCCCGCTCCAGGTGTGGCTGTAGGTAAGTCTGTCAGGGTAATTCACGTAGAATAAAAGCTGCCACTGGTAATTAGCAGAAGAAGTGGCTTTTTGAGTTTATTTAGCTCTTAGGAGACAGTGGGGATGGTTGAGAGCAGTCTCTTCCAGGCTGCTTACTTATGCTGGGGTCTGATGAGAGCCCTCACTTTAAATGTAAAGGCTAAAGCAGCGTTGCTTTGAAGAGCTCTCATTCTGTCTTTATATCAGTTAACAGGGGGGAAATACGACGTGTGACTTATGTCAGGTTTCCTCAGGTTGCTGTGTGGTTAGATGTAAACTGCACATTTCTAGCTTGACAGCGCTAAATGTAGAAGAGCAGAGACTTCTCATCTGAGTGGCTTTCACACCCATATGGTCTCGTTTTTGTAAATACTTATGAAAAACCATGAAGTCTTGCTGCAGTTACTGACAGTGTCTTTGAGTTCTTCCATTTGATTATCACAAGACGAGAATTTTGTGATTACTTCGTGATTTACAGGAGGATGCTCTTGCTTTTTATTAGAGCCAGAGAAATAAACTAAAAATGCTATGAGTCGGTCTAACAATGCGGGAATTCATTGCGCCGACATGGCTTGTCACACGTTACTCTCTGCAGACTCCATGGGTTATTCATAAATATCTTTAAAACAGATGACCTCAGTTGTTTTGCTGAGGAAACCAGAGGGAGAGATTCCCAAGTTGCCTTATGCGTTAGTGCACACCAATACAAGAAACATGGAAATACTTTCCCTGGAGATTGAGCCTATTTTGCCTGGAAAGGAGACACCAACTGCCTCTGAAAGTGCTGAAAATCTGTGTTACAAGAGATACGGGATGGAAATAGATGGTTTAGACTATATGTATGTTAAAGTAAGTAGAATATGTTTGGTTGTTTTCTTGGTTTTAACATAGGTGAAGGCTGTGCAGCCAAGCATATAATAGCTTATTAGTATAATAGTTTATTAATAGAGGCTTAAAGTAAGTGAAGTTTTGACTTATGATCTGGAGATACATAAAGAAGACTTCTTTCAAACATGCCAGACAATAATTTCATTGTTTAGGACAGTGTCTCTTTTAGAAAATGCTTATATGAGGAGAAGCATTTGCAGAAGTTGTTAGAATTTGATGTCAGAGTGCCCTTCTTCCTTGGGTGTGACAGTCTTATGTACTGGAAATACAAAGGCAATATGAACCTTTTGCAAACGATCAAATAGATAACGCGTGCAGAGAAAAGGAGTGGAATGGTTTCCGTAGGGCTAAATATGGTGTGCAATTTCCAGCTAGTGTGAAGGGTTTTAATTTCACTCCCTTCTGCAACACAGAGGCGCTTTCCCTCATTTCTCACGCTAAGCGAGGTGTGAACTGCGCCGAGGCAATGGGGGGGCCCAGGCGGTCGCAGTGGGTCCCGGCGGTGCTGGCAGCCGGCACAGCCCTGCTGCACCCGCCGGCTCCCGCGCGCACTTTTCGCTTTTGGGATTTGCCTAGGGTAGGGCTGAAGGTCATGGGAGAAGAAACGCAGCTGCTCTGGCCGGGGAGTTTCTGAGGGCAACGCTGCGGCCGTTAGCCCTAGTTCTGCTTTTGCAGCTTCCCCCCGCGCTTGCGGAGGCGCTTTGGGAGGCTTAACGCTGCTCGCTGGTTTTAAGTTAGCACTTGCCAGGTCACTCATTTGCACCGGTTCTGGTTTCCTTGCTGTCCATTTCCCATGGAAAAATGGTGGGGCTAAATACAGATACAGCCTCACGAGGTGTGCCTCACCAGTGGCAGGTCGCTGCTGTAACACGGCACAAGGGCGTCTGTGGTACGGACTTGACCGCAGTGACCGAGTTGTTGTGCTCTGGGTTAGTGGAGTAAAACTAGTTTTTTGGGTAACTGAATAATAACTGAGTAACTCAGGCTAAGTTGGTAAAAGCTCTGTTTTAATGATGTGACTACATCTCAGCCTGGGGCTTCTCTGTCATTCTAATGAAAAATAATCACTTAATTTTGGATGTTTAGAACCAAACAGGTGTTTTACTTTCAAGGTGACTTTTTGGAGGGGCTAGGATTGAGTAAAACCAAAAGAATGCTGTTTGGACTTGAGCTCAACTTTACAGAAAGATACTTACAAAAGTACAGCCTTATCTACTATCACAGTTTATGCCAAATATCTTTCCTTTCATTTTTAACTTTTAAATTAAGCTTTTGTAGTTAAGCCAGCAGTTGTCCATACTCGAGCTGTTTCACAGATACCAGAAAGCTTAGCCTTGCTTCACCCCTGCGAGGCAGGTGATCAGTTATGGCTCCACTACTCATTTCTCAACAACTTCTTGTTTCGAACTCCAGCGCCGCAGCATGGCATGGCGCAGCGTGTCTCTCTGATCGCTGCCACCCTTTATGCTCCCTCCCTGCCTACGCGGGTGCTCAATACTCCGAATAGTCCCATGGCAGCGATGCCGATGGCTCTGCACTGAGGCAAAAGGCAACGCTGCTTCTTCCTGCGTGTATGAACCCGGGGCGAGCGACCAGCCGCGGCCAGCGCGACGAACCCCTTCGGTCCCTGTGCAAAACTGGGGCTGCGCCGCGTGTTGTGAGAAGCCGTGCTGTTCCCCTGCCTCCTGTGGGTGAGGGTTCGGGAAACTTTGGGAAAAATAAGTATAAAAAGCTTCTGTAAGATCTTACATCCATCTAAGAACTTGAGAAAATGAAATCAACGTTTTGTTGTCCAACACCAGCGTGTAAAAATACCTAAGGAACATGAGGGTCTTGACTGAATTTGCACCTGTGGTTTGGAAATAATACTTATTTCAGCATCTAGTTAATTGTGCTGTGGAGTCTGTGTTATGCCTTGCATCATAGCAGTGTTAAAATAAAATTCTGCAACCACTTGTTTCATTTGGCCTCGTAGTATTTTTTTCTTGGATTTTAAATTCAGGCACCCATGTAGTTAACTGTGACATGTTGAATGGGGTTTTTTTGGGTATTCCTTAGGTATTGGCTTTTTAAAATTTTTTAAATTGGAGTATTTTTGTAAGATAGCCCAATGTTCAGTGTAAGTGCACCAACATGAAATCACTCATCCTTTTCCTAATACTCTTTCTTCAACAGAACATGTCTCAGCTTAATACTCAGGGGATGGCTGTAGTTGTTTCTTTTGTCCTTAAATTTCTTGTGGCCACTCTTCTACAACTCTTGCAACATGTTTTTTCAGGTTGGATGAATTAGGTGTTTTAAGGCAGACTTATAATTAACTACTTTTTGAAATCACTAGCATATAGTTCAATCTTGGCCTTCGTTTTGGTGGTGTGGATGGAGGCGCAGAACAGCGTCTGCCTCTCTGCATGGGTTTGACCCCAGATGAAGTTTTGCCTGAGTCAGAGCATTTTCCTGTCGCTCAGGCTGGGGGTGGCCTCACACTTCTGCTCAGTGTTTTCGCAGATCTTTCTGTGGTTCTGCAGGTATTTTGTGTCTCAAGTAGTGACCAAAACATGGGTGGTTTTGATCCAGCTTGTAATTGCCATCTTTTCTGAAGGTCTTTCAGAGCAGCATTCATTCCTTTGACAGGTCTAGAAATCAGAATGGTTTAAACCACAAAATTTTCTTAAGCATTGATTTTCCTTTGAATATATTTTTTTTTTAAGCCTGATTTACTTTAAATGAGATTTTATGAGAAGTGTGCTGAATTAAATGAGAACAGCGTACTGCAGGTAGTATGGAATCATAGAATCATCTAGGTTGGAAAAGACCTTTAAGATCATCAAGTCCAACCATTAACCTAACCCACCATTCCCTCTCGTCCTATTGTCCATTACCAGGGAGAAGAGGCCGACCCCCACCTTGCTACAGCCTACTCTCAGGTAGTTGTAGGGGGCGATCAGATCTCCCCGCAGCCTCCTCTTCTCCAGACCAAACAACCCCAGTTCCCTCAGCCGCTTCTCATCAGACTTGTGCTCCAGACCCCTCATCAGCTTTGTGGCTCTCCTCTGGGCATGTTCCAGCAACGCAATGTCTTTCTTGTAGTGAGGGGCCCAAAACTGAACACAGTATTCGAGGTGTGGCCTCACCAGCACCGAGTACAGGGGCATGATCACTTCCCTACTCCTGCTGGCCACACTATTCCTGATACAGGCCAAGACACCACTGGGCTCCTGTGGGCACACTGCTGGCTCATATTCAGCAGGCTGTCAACCAGTACCCCCAGGTCTTTTTCCACCAGGCAGCTTTCCAGCCACTCTTCCCCAAGCCTGTAGCGCTGCATGGGGTTGTTGTGACCAAGGGTTGTTGATGATGGGTGGCGTGCGGGGAGCCAGGCGGGCCGGTGGGAGCTGCAGGTGCAGCGGTGCGGGGGCATGGTCCTGGGCATCCGGCGCAGCCTCCTGGTAGCAGCGGGGGGGTCAGGAAGGATGTAGCTGCACTGCCCTTTCAACGCGCTGGCCAGGCCAGCGTCTGTCCCCATCTTTGCATGGCACTTGGCGAAACTTGTTTTGTTCTCTGTAACTGACGATACACCCTTAATTAAGCCCTGTTAGAAGCATCATGTGGGCAAACCCATGATGCGCCCAAGCGGTGCTACATGTGACTTCCCATCGCTGTCCAGTGGTTTTTGGCGGCGGGCGCTGCTGGCATCGCAGGGCGCTGCTGTTCCTGCCCACGGCAGCTTAGGGGGTGAACGGGCAACACTTTGATAGCTGAAGAGTCATCTGGGTTAATAATGACAGGATGAACCAGCTCTGTCTCCCTCTGTACGGCATTTCGAAGAGGTGGTCAAGTACAATCGACATAAAATGTAGAAAGCTGTGTTTTTACAGATGGACAACATTCACAACTTTTAAACGTTTCGTGTGTTTTAACTCCATAAAAATCTTTCCTATGAAACTATCAACTGTAACCTGGAAATATATATGTTCTTTGCTAGATTTGGTAGTTTAAAGTAAAACACTGAGTTTTCTGGCCTGGCTGTCAGGCCCAGTGTGTAGATTTGCAGTGTGATCATTTTCTCTGAATTTCAGTGGAAACGTTGCTAATAATTGTAACATTTAAAGAAAAAAAAAATCTACATTTCTGTTTGCTGACCAAATCTACCTGCAGTAGCATGCATATTGATATCTAATTATATCTATATCTATCTCCTGTGTTTGGGATTTAGCTTTTTTTGCATCACTTTGAAATAGGGTGTAGTTTCAGGTAAATGTCAGTCAGTGGACATTTTCCCAGTGGCTGAAGATATAAATCTTGCTGCATCGATTCTTTGTGGGATGCTGGCAGTTTTTGATCGTACCTTGTATGATCAAGGCGTGTTCGGTAAACAACGTACAAGTTGGTTTTGGTGTTACAAGTCACCAGTCGCCCTAAATGCACAGAATGCCTTATAAAAATGCTTAAAGGAAAGGAAAAAAAAGAACCCTCAAACTTTTATATCCTTAGGATTCAAATGTGGTGGATATTTATACAGTAGATGAAGTACTCAAAAAAGATTCTTTTTCATTGCACTGCGATTCAGGTAATTTCCTTGTGCCTGGTGAAGGAGGCTGTGCCGTACCTGCCTGACCTTGCCTGCCGCGGGCACTTTGACCCAAAGTTGCCAGCCTGATGTCAGTAGGGATGCAGGCTCGTGCCAGTGGTGTCTTAGAGCACAGGTCAGAGCCTGGGTCACCACTGTCCCCTGGCTGCCCCTTGGGAGCTCCTTTGGCATCTCCCCATTGTGGCCAGTTGGGAATTCCCACGAGTCAGGGATTTACGTGATAACGTGGGACCTTTGATCTTCCTATTAGGTAAACTAACTATGTGAGATTATTTTTCAGATAAAACGTTAATACAAATTGTCCCATATATTTTCCCCACTATGTATCATGATATAAATATCTTTTTAAGTTAATACTTTCTAAATGTCAGGC